AGAGCACAGAAGAGACAGAAACAAAGCAAATCAACTTAAGATGAGAGTTTTTTTGGCACCAAGGCCCACAAGAAGACAGAAAGAGCACAGAAGAGACAGAAACAAAGCAAATCAATTTAAGGTGAGAGTTTTCTTGACACCAAGGCCCACAAGAAGACAGAAAGAGCACAGAAGAGACAGAAACAAAGCTAATCAACTTAAGATGAGACTTTTCTGACACCAAGGCCCACAAGAAGACAGAAAGAGCACAGAAGAGACAGAAACAAAGCAAAGCTACTTAAGATGAGAGTTTTTGACACCAAGGCCCACAAGAAGACAGAAAGAGCACAGAAGAGACAGACACAAAGCAAATCAACTTAAAATGAGAGTTTTCTGAGAGTTTTCTGACACCAAGGCCCACAAGAAGACGGAAAGAGCACAGAAGAGACAGAAACAAAGCAAATCAACTTAAGATGAGGGTTTTCTGACACCAAGGCCCACAAGAAGACAGAAAGAGCACAGAAGAGACAGAAACAAAGCAAATCAACTTAAGATGAGAGTTTTCTGACACCAAGGCCCACAAGAAGACAGAAAGAGCACAGAAGAGACAGAAACAAAGCAAATCAACTTAAAATGAGAGTTTTCTGACACCAAGGCCCACAAAAAGACAGAAAGAGCACAGAAGAGACAGACACAAAGCAAATCAACTTAAAATGAGAGTTTTCTGAGAGTTTTCTGACACCAAGGCCCACAAGAAGACGGAAAGAGCACAGAAGAGACAGAAACAAAGCTAATCAACTTAAGATTTTTGACACCGAGGCCCACTAGAAGACAGACAGAGCACAGAAGAACCCACCCAAAGCAACTTTTTATTGTAAATTACAGTATTTTTGCACCTTCGAGCCTGCCTCAAGACACCCTAAAAGTTTGCAAATCACAATCTCGAACTTTCACCCTCCCCAAGGAGCTGAGGTGGTAAGCGATAGAAGCATTTGTGATGTCAAACGAATGATTCCCAAAAGGTGCAATCAAAGGACTGAGTTTTCGTTTGTTTTGTCCATGTATTGAAGTCAGTCCATGCATCAAGCAAACGTTCGGCTTCATCCCGGACATCTCCCCCCCCAGAGATGGTGCACATTGGACAGGTAAATGATAGCTCCACCAGCAAGCCACAGTGCATACCCCAAGTTCAGAGAATGCATGCTGCAAAACTTTATTTGCATTGGGTCGAAAAGGGGAAGTTGAGTCAAGACGCTTTAGAAAGCACAGGCTACTGGTTGGCAAGTAGACAGAAACAAAGCAAATCAGCTTAAGATTTGACACCAAGCTCTCAGATCCAGCGACCCACACTGAGGTGGTGCCTTTCAGGGTTAATAATACTGCTGGTCTTGCTTTTTGGCTTGTTGGTCGAAGCCTCCCGAAAGCGGTCTGGTCAGCACTCCTTTGTTTGTGGGAGATTTGCAAGCCGCAAATTCCAGCATCTTAAGTTGCGCCTGACGTGCATTGCTCCCAGAGAAGAACCTTGCTCGCTCCCATTCAAAGCGGCGTTTCGGCTGACTATGACGTCGCTGTGGCACTTCGTCGATCATGGCACGTGCCCTTGCTGCCGACGGCGCGGCGCTGCTGGCGTATGGCCGCTCTACCAGCACTGCCGTGCGAAGCATCCGAAGAAGGCCGCACGACCGCGGCGGCCATTTGTCGTGCTTTGTGGATCGTTCGTTTCCTTTTGGACGTGTCCTTCTTGACTTTATGTTTTGTTCAATGTCATCCAAACGTTACAATAGCAAGCCATGCGTTCCTTCCAAGCATATTCTTGCACCTTCCATCCATGTACCTTCGGGGTGGTATATGGCTCGCTGGACACTTTGCGCCATCCAGACATGCATCAGCCCAGAAAGAGTTGAGAACCTCGATTGTGGCCTTGTCATATACGCCGCGTACGCCGGCCACATCGCAGGATGACCTCCTGGACGCCCTGGAAGACATGATGGAAGTCGAGCAACGTGAGAAGGAGGGGCGTGAGGCGGATCATGATGCACGCACATTGTCGGATCATGGCCGTGTGTGCGCGCCTCGTCGGCTCGTTCTCGGCAAGGGGCTCGACAAAAGATTGAGATCGAAAGCTTGGTACCTTTTTGGTGGTTTCTGATACCCACTTGTTCAGGCGCGTCATGGAGATGACCGTGACCACTCGCCGGCCGAGGAGCGCGCAGTCGCTCGCAATGCAATGACTCCCCGGACAGAACACGTTTCTGACAGGTGAACCCATGGTATATCACAACACTCCCACTGTTTCATCTCGGTTGAGCGACTTTACCTCCATTGATTTGGGCATCCATGTGGTTATGCTTTTGGAGTGGGGCAGAGGATGCTCGACCCAATCGCCCAGGAGCGAGATGCGCGGTTTGACGAAGACAAGGCTACTGTTGCTCGCTGCAAGTCGAGCGGTGGGGAGGGACGTGGACGGTATTCGAAGTTTGGCCATCTCTGGTCCCTTGTAACACTACATGGTAACACTACATGCGCAAACGAAAAACAGTGAACCTTCAACGAGAACGTGCTTGTGTTCGGGCTCGTGGGCTTCGTCTTGTTTTTCTATTGACGTGTCCTGTTCGAGTTAGCTGCTGTGTTATGCGGTCAAGCTCCGCAAAACCTAGTATCAGACCGGTCAGGCGCAGCGCCGAGATGATGACCTTCCATTGGTTGACGATCGCGATCGCGACCGTTCGCGACCCGGAGCTCCCTGGCCTGAGTTTCTTCACCGCGAGGTTCGCACACTCTATGTGGACTTCGGCCAAAAGTCTACAATAAAAAACAGAGGGGTCGAAGGTAGCTTGTGATGTTGTTTTTTCCATGGTATTGTCCAGCGGGCCCCCGGCTAAACACACCTATTCTGCAGCTGGGCGCTAGGTTTGCGGTAGATTTGGGCTAATGTTTGCCTTAGGAAATGTTCAGATTGTCGTCAGGTGTTCGAAAAGTGGCCGGCTGAAAAATGCGCTGGCCGCGCGCTGGCCCTGCGCTAGATCCGCGCAAGCAAACATCGACAGATTCCAACGTAGACCCTATCCAAGGCTGACTTGCTACATGTCTTTTGTAGCACGCACGGCGGCTCGAAACTCGGAGCTCGATCGAAAACGGTGCAGCGCTTGTGACGCCTCTTACACTTTGGCACCGCTACTTGTTTGGTTCATGTTTCTTTCATTAGCTGTGTGTGCCAAAAGTAAAAACTATGTAGCGGGCCTCCATGTGAAGTCATTCTTAACTGTGCAGTCTACCAGTAAAGATGCCACAGAAGCTGCGCCATAGTGGCATTGCGCTCAGGTGCAGCGCCGAGATGACGATGTTCCATTGACTGACTCTCGCGACTACCGCGACTATCGCGGTCGGGAGCGTTCACGAAACTCCAGAGCTCCTTGGCGCGAGTTTCTCCGCCGTCGGGGTTCGTGCACTCTGTTTGTCCTAGGTATCCATCGAGTTTCATACGTACAGTCTACCAGTAAATACCACAGGGACTGCAGATCTGGTGAGTGCGTAGTGACAACCTCCTGTCATGTTTAGGTTAGCTGCTGTGTGGCGCAGTCATTGGCTCTGTCAAGCCTGATCTCAGACCGCTCAGGCGCTGCATCGCGACGACGAGGCCGACTATCGCGATCGTGAACGCTCACGGTGCTCACGAGACTCCAGGGCTCCTCGGCATGAGTTTCCTCACCGTCCACATTCGTGCACTCTGTCTGTCCTATGTCTGTGTGAAATTTAATACATATAGTCCACCAGTACAGATACCGCAGGAACCGCACCGTGGATTTGGCGAGCGCATGGTGGACCTCCGTGCGAGCCGCTCGGCTTAACCTTTGCTCTCCTTCTTTTCGTCCACGGTTCTCTATATGCATGTACCCACTCGTAGGCCTGATTGATGCCCGTGAGCGGAAACCACAAAAAGTGACGCTGCAGAAACGCAAACGAAAACCGTCGAACTCCGTCGACGTCCGTCGAAATCCATCGAACTCTGCGGACCGGTGCTATCTCCGCGCCCGCCCGACTTGTTTGTCACGCGCCCGGCCACCCATCAGGCACGACGCGACCGAAGAGCCGCCCGCATCCATCCATGGGTACGTTCTTCCGGAGCCTGGCCGACGTCATCGATCCCTGACGTCGG